AATTGAAAACATAGTTATGAGCTAGCCCTAAGGTACACCTCACTTTAAGGGGATCCCCAGCAGAGTCGCCAGTTCTGTGATCGGTGGATCTGGAACTGACTGTTTAACGCTGGTTCGCAAAATGTCGCGGAAGCAAGAGTCGCCACCGTCTTTTATTTTCTCCAAATGGAAAGGACAAAAGCACAGAAAAATTCCTTAAAGAGATTGCTCTCGGTTCGGGAGGTAGGTTATAGAAAGGGAAGGTGTTAGCACCCTTTCTATCCATGGTTATCCATGGGCTCTTAGATACTTGCTCATTGTGTTTTCAAAAATGTTTGTTTGCTTTTCAATGTGGGTTTTAAAAAGTTTCTTTGAAAAATTTCAGTTCGACTCGTACGTCAGAGTGTTTGAAAAGTTTGCTTTGAAAGCTTTTGAAAATGTGTTGGTGTGAAAAGTATTTTTGTTTGTTTTTGAAGAGAGCAAGTATCCTTGAGAACCTACCTACCCTAAGGAATTCGTCTGTGTAGAGGTCCTTTAAAGTAGTGCCATCCCACCATTGAGAGGTAGGTAGCACCACCGTTGGAGGTGTTCGGGTCAATTCGAGTTTTGTAGGGACATGGTGATCACCAGAGCAATGGGAAGACACCTTAGAAGCTACCCTCATGCCAGGTTCCCGGATCATGAGGACTTACTAAGACATCCTCTACTCGACGATCACCTTTCGAAGGCAAGGCAACAGTGAGGCGTACCCTAGGGGTGGTGTGTGCGAATTGTGTGTCATGTTTCAGTTATTTTTGTCTTGTCATGTTTGTTGTGATCTACGTTTGATTTTATTTTAAGTCCATACATTCTTTCATGCTTATTTAACAGTTAAAAGTTGCGGGAAAATAAATCTACAACTATTACAAATGGCGCGGGTCCACATCGCCAAAATTAAACCGGACCCGATTTGACAGAAAATAAATAAAGCGAAAGAAATAAAAGTGCGAGAAGTTTAAGTTACAACGCTTTGGGAGAGATACATAATTATTTAAGCGAAATAAAGTAAATACGCGAAATTAAATAAAATTAAGAACATGGGCGTTGGACCCTTTTGCAAAATATTAAATTACAAGAATTAATTAATTAGAATTAATGAGGAATAAAAAATTAAAAATTAAAAAGGAATGTTTTTTGGTATTTTTTTGTATTTTTTAAGATTTAATAGAAAAAGGATTAATTAAAATGAAAATTGGATGCAAACCCTAATTCTAATGGTTTTTAAGTTTATTGTGAAAATATTAAATTAAAACCTAAATTAAACCTAATTTTTTGTACAATTTAATTATGAAAATAAAATAAGTAATATTATTATTATGACAAAAAAGGAAAAATTGAAAGGGATAAAATTTATTAAACCTAAATTCTATATTTTTTTACATTTTTATGAAAAGAATTAAAGTTGCAACCTAAATTAATACTAAGTTAATTTACATGTTAATTTATTTGTGAAAATAATATAATTAAATATTTATTATATTTGTCATCTTTTCTGATTTTTTGGGCATTTTTTATATATTGTAAAAATAATGAATTAAATTAAAACAATAAAACAAATGAAATAATAATTAAAAATAAAATATAAGAAAAATAAAAACTTGCAAACCAGGGGGGGTTCAGGCCCTATTGTGAGGTGTTGATCCAATAAATTGAGCCCAATAGCTTCAGAATTCGTTGACTTTCCAGGTATTATGTGGCACGTTGACTGGGGTTTTAGGATGTTCATCCCACCTATGCCCTTGATCTGAGCATGCTAGACACGTGGACGCTGGGATGATGATGGAGCATGATACGCTTCAACGTTGTGCCTGCATGGGAATTTATATGGAAAAACAAGATTGAAATATGCAAGACCTGGGACTTGAACCCAGGTCATGAGGGTTAGTAACAATCACTCCTTGCCAGCTGAGCTATAGAACGCTTTTGATATATTAATAAACAACAAATATAATGAAAGCAAACAAAACGTTAGTGACTGAAGCGCGCGAAATTCAAAAACAGCGTATCACATGTTGCCACGCTTCATCGTCTCCACCACCCCTGTAAAACAAAACACAATAGCAACGGTTTTCAACGCGTTGCAGAAAGCAGGCTATTGGAAAATAGCGAATAGGGCTATGACGTCCATAAATTGATCGCGAATGGTGTTTCTTGTTCGTTGGAGCGTGCTGGTTACAACCATCATAGTCTTGTGGGCTAATTTTTCTTAGTCTTAAAAGCCCTAATTTCTCCTCCTGAAAACCCTAGAAAAGCTAACATGGTAGAATCATATTGAGAGCGCAAAAACACAATCAAATGGTACAGTTAGCATCAGAAGACATCAATGAGTAACAATCCATAACAAAAATGCAATGATTATGCTTCAAAATTAAAATACGATTAAGCAAGTTTCTTGATGCAGTTTATGTTCAATCTACCAATTCTTGGAGTTTTGATGGTGGCTAATGAGTGAGAATCGTTCAGTGAGACTTGAGGATGCTATTGGGATCAAGATTAATGCTTGAATCGTCCTCCAATAATGAATTCAGTTTTGAGTTTTATGGCAATTTTTCAAGTTTGCAAATTGGTCTCTAGCGCAGCTTTTTCGTGTATTGTGATTAGGTTTGTGATCCTGATTATGTACTGAGGCTATTAGGTCAACAAAATTCATAAAAATCTCTTGCAATTATGGATTAAGGATTTGATTTGTTAAGGATCTTTTTGAATCTTTTTCACGTGTATTTTGCTCTCAATCATGCCAATCAGCTCCAAATCTTTCCCCATTTGTATTTACACGAAATATTGAGTATCAAACATGCATAAAAAGATTGGTTAAGGCAAGTTAGATATTTTTCATGTATTTAAATAATTTAAATGAATTAATATAAATAATAATTCAAATAAATAAATAAAAAATGAGAAAATACTTCCCTTTGGGCCAAGTGGTCGTGCATATGATTGGAATGATGAATCATGGAAGAAAAATGGGCCCATTAGCATTTTTGGGTCATTTGACTCAATGTTGACTTTTCAAAATTTCCAAAAATTTCCCAACTTCCACAAGGCATAACTTGCTCAATTTTTAAGCTTTTCTCATGTTCTTGGACATTTTGGAAAGGTCTTTGAGTCCTCTAACCAATGCCTTTGGTCCCATGTCATTTTGATTTTCCAATCTCAAGTTATGGCATTTGACTTAAAGTCCCTTTTTGTTGACTTTTGAAAATGACCTATAATGTTGAAATTGATAACTTTTTGTGAGAGCATTTCTTGGACTTGAAGTATGAAGATGAGTTGTAGGAAATGTCTTTCTCTTCAAAATGAGCTTTGGCTGGAATTTTTCTGATAATCCATGTGAAAGTTATGCCCTGGTCAATTTCAGTTGACTTTTTCAGCTGTCCAAATATAGTAACTTTTGCATCTTTGATGATTTCTGAGCCAAATTTTGAGAATCATGATCAAGCATTGATCAAATGATGTTTGTGGCTTCAAAATGATATGTTGACCAAAAATTTGAACTTTTGACTGTCAAATGACCATTTTGCCCCTACAGTTGACTGTAGTGCAATTTAGGGTTTTGACTGTGCAATTTTGAGCTGAATGCCTTGAAACTTGATATGAGGATGCTTGACCATACTTGTAGGCATATGAGATTTGATTGGGCCTTTGAAAACTTCATTTTCTTGATCAGAACACAAACCCTAGTTTTGACTGTATAGGAGACAGTTGGACTGTGCAACCTTTGGAGAATTTTGTGACTTGGCTTGGCAATTTCTTGAGGAATATGGGAGGGCAAATTTTGGGGTACAACAAAAGGTCTCTTATCTTCTTTGCAAAAGGGGGGAAAAACACTAGTCAAAATCTTGTCTTGAGTCAACAACAATTTTTATACAAAAAACCAACTTCTTCCAATTTCCTCTTCTCTTCGCAGTAGCTACCTCTCCATTCACCTTCCAAATCTCCCTCCCAACCTTTTCCATTTCCAAACCAGAACAATAACAACCACACCGCCACCGTATAATAACTACTTCCTACGCCCCCATACTCTGCTGCTATTCCATTTCACACCACCAACCGAAATCAAATTTCACTGTTTCTTCTCAATCTCATACCTTATGGCTTCCGTTGAATCAGAAGAACAAGTTCCCCAAGTTCAAAACAGCGTCGATAAAGATACAAACAACAAGGCGGAGAAGCTCAATAACAAAACCAAAAGCACCAACACGGAGAAGAACAAGTATTTTCCTAGATATAGTTGTTTTAGAATCGATTACGGTGATGCAGGTGATGGTTTTGATATCCAAGTTGTTGATGCTTCTGGTCACAGTTCTAACCCCACTCATTTGATCGTTATGGTTAATGAACACATTGGCAGTGCTGGGAATTGGAAATATGCTGCTAAACAGTTTCTGAAAAAGTACCCCTCTGATGCTATTGTACATTGCAGTGAAAGTAATTCTTCAAAGTTGACATTTGATGGTGTTGATGTAACGGGAGATAGATTAGCAGAGGAGGTTATATCAGTTATAAAACTCCACCCAAATGTTCAGAACATTTTATTTATAGCTCATTCTTTAGGTGGCTTGATTGCCAGGTATGCAATAGCCAAGCTTTATGAACAAGATATTTCTAAGGAACTTTCTCAGGGGAATGAACATTGTGAGAGTCAGATTTCAAAGCAAGAATGTCATGATAGAAAATATGAAGGAAAAATTGCAGGATTGGAGCATATTAATTTTATTACGTCTGCAACCTCCAATCACCCTTCTTCAATCATTACAAACACCCTTCACCACCCACCTTCCAACGGCTAACCATCATTAACACCACCATCCCAATTTCTGCTCCAACCGAGCCACCACCCTATTCCTCCATCAATTATCAACCTTTTGATTCCTCTTCTTCAAACAATCTGCCCTTCCACTCAACTGAACAAAACCCACACACTCCATCAACGCCAACCTCCCTTCCTTAATAACCATCCTTCATTCCCATGGTGCATCAGAATGTTGGCACAAACATGGTACTTTCCTCGAACACCTTGTCGACATTTTCCGAATCCACCACCTCTACACCCTCATTTGCAGTCTCCTACTTCATCAACAATCTCAAATTCTCATCAGAATCCGCTCTCAAAGCCTCCAAACTCGTCCATTTCAAAACCTCCAAAAAACCCGATTCAGTTCTCAACTTCTTCAGAACCCACAGTTTCACCGGTTCAGATATACACAAAATCATCCAAAGATCCCAAAGTTTCAATTTTTACCCTCTCCTCTCCGAACTCGAACGCAACCGCGAAGACAAATAATGGGAGCAACAACACATTCATCATTCTCGCCCTCAACTCCATCACCACGACAACACCCAACCATTCCTTCTTCCGCTGTAACTTCAGATCAACACCGACTCAGCCACTATCCACCATCACGCGCAAACTACAGATGCAACATCACCTTACCAGCTACAGCCGATCGCGTCCCCATCATTCCCAGAACCGGCCACCGTCCAATTCCGCCGCTATTTCCACCGACACTCCGACCGCGCCACTTAGCCGCGTCACCACTCACCGGTAATCACCATCTTCTTAACATTTTTCTCCTATTGTGTGTATAGCTATGTATGGTTTATAATTGATCTGTGTAAATTGTTGTTTGAATAAATGAGAGCGAAGGGAGGATAAGATTGAGGAAATTGTTTGAAATAGAGGAAGAATAAGTGAAAAGTCAGAGGAAGTATCATGAATTTGGAACATAGAAGTTTTTGTAAAAACTTTATAGGGTGGAATAGAAAGTAAGCGGCTGGTCTTATTGCATTTGGGATTTTCTAACCCTTTTGTTTTGATAAGCTGACCCGGTCCGACACATTTTTTTTTAATTGTTTTAAAAACTTTTTTATAACTCTGGGCTTGCTATCCTTCTAATTTAAATGAGCCCAGCGATTTTTTGCTACTCTACTTCTCTAATTTTGCTGCACACCTTTTTTTATATATATAATTAAGTTAGTTTAATTTATTTTAATAATTTATATTAGCTTTATTTAGATTAATTAGTTTATTAAATGGTCATCTAGGTTTTTTTAATTAGATAATTTTCTTAAATAGTTTTAGTTTAGGCTTAATTTAGTAACTCTCCTAGAATTTTTATTTAGTTTAGATTCAACTTAATGACTTTAGAATTTTATTTTGTTTAGATTTAACTTGAGTTAGGTTTAATTTAATTACTTTAAAATTTTTATTTGATTTAGATTTAATTTAGTAATTTTAGAATTATTTTTATAACTTTAGAATTTGTAGTTAGTGGAATTATTTTAGTAAATAATCTTAGAATTTTAATTTAGTTTAAATAACTTTTTTTTAGATAATTAGTTACACTCTCTATTATTTGTATTTAAATATCTCTGTCATTTTAATTTTTTCAGTGCCTTTTGGTCATTAATCTGTTTAGTTAGGTTTATTTTCCTGTGAATTTTTGAATGCTTATGTTTTGATGTCCATTTTATTCGCTCGATTTACTCCAAGGAAAAGATTTAAATTTTGTTGATTTCACGTCATCAAGCACATCTCATCCAATCGTGTGAATACCCTCATTCATTTTTATTTTTTTGTTTGTTTACTATTTTGCTTAAGATAATTTTCCCAAAAGACTCCATTTTCAAACTCACACCTTTTAAGTCAAAACTTCGACACTAGGTCGTCGTATCTTCAAAATCTCTCCAACACCGATTTTTAGCCAAACGAACCATTTTAATCAAACAAACAATTTTAACCAAAAAACAGATATTTCAAAAGGTTCCTGCGGAGTACCGCAGATGCATTGGGTGCTAATACCTTCCCATTGTATAACCAACTCCCGAACTCTCGATCTCTTTTCAAAACGCATTGTATTTTCATTACTTTTAAGTATTATTGTACATTGCATATTTTAGGGTTTTATTTCGCTCTTTTCCCTTTTCCCTTGGAAATAATAAAGCGCGGTGGCGACTCTTGCTTTTGTGAGTCAAGTTAATTAATAGCTTGATCTCCGATTTTCACCGCTACAATAGTGTTACGCTTTAATCCCTAATTTTTGCCTGGACCGCCCTTTCGGGTTTTCAGTCCACCGGGATACCCTTTTTTGCCCAAGCCGCCTTTTCAGGTTTTTGACTTGCCGGGTGTACAGTTTTTTTTAATTTTCATCCCTTATTTTTGCCCGAACCCTTTTGGTTCGCCGGGAAGCCCTTATTTTTGCCTAGGCCAGTTGACCTAGCGGGTCTTTGATTATGCGTAGTATTTTTTCACTATGTCTGCATTGACGGGGTGAGGAAGGTCGTCACCATCCATGGTGGTTAGAATCATAGCTCCTTCTGAGAAAATGTTCTTAACCACAAATGGCCCTTCGTAAGTAGGGGTCCATTTGCCCTTAGGATCACCTTGCGGTAGTATGATGTGTTTGATCACCAGATCCCCAACTTGATACTCTTGTTGTCTAACTTTCTTGTTAAATGCCTTTATCATTCGTTTTTGGTACGTCTGACCATGACAAATAGCAATAAGTCTCTTTTCATCGATTAAGTTTAGCTGATCAAGCCAGGTCTGTATCCAATCGTCCACGCTCAAACCTGCATCTTTCATAATCCAAAGAGAGGGTATCTGGACCTCAATGGGTAAGACTGCTTCCATGCCATACACCAAAGAGTAGGGTGTTGCCCCTGTTGAAGTTCGTGCCGAGTTTCGGTACCCATGAAGAGCAAATGGTAACATCTCGTGCCAATCTTTGTATGTCACCGTCATCTTCTACACAATCTTCTTAATGTTCTTATTAGCCGCTTCAACAACCTCATTCATCTTCGGCCGGTAAGGAGAAGAGTTATGATGTTGTATCTTGAACTGCTTGTAGAGCTTGGTGATTATTGTATTGTTGAGATTTGTACCGTTTTCTGTAATGATCCTCTCTGGTACACCGTATCGATAGATCAAATTGTGCCGAATAAACCGTGCCACGACATTCTTGGTTACTGTAGCAAATCTGTAGCGGTGAAAATCGGAGATCAAGCTATTAATTAACTTGACTCACAAAAGCAAGAGTCACCACCGCGCTTTATTATTTCCAAGGGAAAAGGGAAAAGAGCGAAATAAAACCATAAAATATGCAATGTAAAATAATACTTAAAATTAATAAAATACAATGCGTTTTTTTTGAAAGAGATCGAGAGTTCGGGGGTTGGTTATACAATGGGAAGGTATTAGCACCCAATGCATCTGCGGTATTCCGCAGGAACCTTTTGAAATATCTGTTTTTTGGTTAAAATTGTTTGTTTGATTAAAATGGGTATGGATGAGATTTTTGAAGATACGACGACCTAATGTTGAAGTTTTGACTTAAAAGGTGTGAGTTTGAAAATAGAGTCTTTTGGGAAAATTATCTTGAGTTTAGCAAAATAGTAAACAAACAAAAAATGAAAAAGGGTATTCGCACGATCAGATGAGATGTATTTGATGACGTGAAGTCAACAAAGTTAAAATATTTCCCTTGGAATAAATTGAGCAAGTAAAATAAGATGAATCAGTAAAGTATAAACATTCGAAAATTCACAAGAAAACAAATCTAATGAAACAGATTAATGACCAAAAGCATCGAGAAATTAAAATGACAAAGATATTTAAATAGAAGAAAAGGGAACTAATTATCTAAGTCAAAATTATAAGATTGCTTACTAAAATAATTCTAAACTAATTTGTTATCTAAAGTTATAAAGATAATTCTAAAATTGCTACGCTAGATCTAAACTAAATTAAAATTTTAATATTAGAAAATTAGATCTACTAAATAAAAATTCCAAGGTTGCTAATCTAAAACAACAAAAAAAAAGTTCCAAAGTTACTAAACTAAATCTAAATCAAATAGAATTCTAAAAGAATATTAAACTAATTCTAAACAACTAAAACTAAACTTATTAAACTAATTCTAAATCAAATAAAATTATAAACTCATTAAACTAATTCTAAATCAAATAAAAATTCTAAAGTCACTAAACTAAAACTAAACAAATAAAATTCTAAAGTTAACTAAATAAAATCAAATAAAATTCTAAAGTCATTAAACTAAAACTAAACAAATAAAATTCTAAAGTTAACTTAAATAAAATCAAATAAAATTCTAAAGTTATTAAACTAAAAGTAAACAAATATAATTCTAAAGTTAACTTAAATAAAAAATCAAATAAAATTCTAAAAGTTATTAAACTAAACTAAAACAAATAAAATTCTAAAATTTACTAAATGAAATAAAATTCTAAAGTTATAAAATAAATCTAAACTAATTAAAGAATTCTACATTAATATTAAACTAAATTAATTATAAAATTTACTAATGTTTTTTTTTTATTTGTTTTTTCATACAATTTATAACAAAACATAAGTAAATTAAAATACAGGCGGTTAAAAACTTGTTCCCAATATCAAAAATAAAATGAAACAACTCATATAGAGACACTTGACATGAACTATATAATAAACCAAAATAACTTAACATATAAATATGATATAAGAGAGAAACGAAATCTAGCCTTCCCTCTCACTTGTATTCTCTCACTTTTCTTGTTCATATGAAAACAACGGTCACATATCAAACAAACAGAGGCGGAAATTTAAGAGAGAAAAAAAACCTAATGAATAAAGCCGTGATAACAAGATGGTGCTTGTGGACCGTGGAGGAGGTCGAAGGGACGTCGAGGGTCGGTGCCGTACGGACGCAGCGGTTCCTGCTGGGGCATCGTCGGTAGTGATGTGGCAATGGTGATGGTGTAGACAGCAACGGCGGATCTGAGAGTTTTTTTTTCGTCAGCGGTCGCGGATCTGTGGGAGGAGGCTAGATTGGGGTTTGGATGTTTGGCCGGAAGTGGGTTAGTTCAAGTTGTTTATGGGTTACGATGGAAGATATGAGGCGGAGGTTAGTACGCGTGGGTTATGAGAGGAAACGGTGAGGGGTTGCGGAAGTTTAAGTTTGCGAAGAAGGAGGAAGTGAGTTGCGTGAAAGCGGTATCGGATGTTCTTGCATTGAGTTTGCAGCTTGGAGTTTATGGTTGTGACAGATCGGAGCATCGTTTGAAACGGTAGTTGAAGGTTGCAAGTACAGTTGAAGTTATGAATCAGAGTGTGAATGTTACAACTTCCGATCGTAAAATCAAACATGAGAAGTTGGAAGGGATAATGTGTTCGAAGGTGATGGTGGTCTGTGAAGCACCGGTGTTGTGAAGGTATAGACGGACGAGAGTGAGAGAGTGCGGTAAGGAAGAAGAAGGGATGGGAATCGTGAGAAGAGAAAGTAGCGAAGGTGATGAAGAAGGGGGTTATGGTGTTTGTGTTACGGAAATGAGGGGATAATTGAAGCATGGCTTATGCGCTGGAGATTGGGTGGATGGTTTTACTGCTTATGCTTGCTGTCCATAGAGAGAGGGTAAAGGGAATTTGGAGTGTAAAAAGAGAGGAGGGGATTATTTACTGTTAGTTGTTTTTTTGGTGTCTTACAAAGAAAAAGTGAAAGTTCTTTAAATAGAGAAAAATGAAAAGGAATATTGTTTTCAGATTTAATCTGAT